CGCAACAAGACAAATTCATCTGCTGTTGCTATAGAAGATAATTTGCATGCATACCTATATAGGCTCATACATACATACGCACATACATGTTTACGCACATACATACATACATATATACGCACATACACTTATACATACATACATAATTACATAGACACATTAATACATTGTTTTTATTCACACATTCATACATTTGCACGTATACACAGACATACATACATGCATGCATACATACATACATACATACATACACACATACATACATATACACATACACATACATATAAGTAGTACAAAATTGAATTGGCATCTAAATCCGGCAACATTATTAGTCAAAATTCATGTTATCCTCAAATATACTTGGGTAAAACTTTGCCAATAGCTTGATCAAATCTTATATATAGCTAAGTCCATATAGTCGCAATCAAAGGCTATAATTGGCCCTTATATAAGAGTGAAGCCCATAACGAAACGTTGCCTTGTTGCCTTTGGGACACGGCTGTAAGTGGTTGAGAATTCGAAATGAAAACACAATTTGCAATTGGAATGCTGTAAAAAATATACATGTACACACACATACATATGTATATATGCAAGCATCCAGCGCCCATGCGTGCATATATGCATATGTACATATATATAGATCGGTTGTATATATCAGTTTTATTAAGTCTTCTTCTTTAGCAAGCTGCGCGCCGTAGTCCTTCGTATGGCATTCATTTTGAACTATGCAATGTATTTTTGTTTCTCTTTTTCTTTTTTTTTTGTTTGTTTTTAATTATTTCTGTTTTTGATTTAAATTTTGCTTTTTGCAAATAGCTCTTTTCTCTCGTAATTGGTTTTTGTTTATTTCTTTTTGATATCGTATTTTTTTTTTTTTTGTTTGGATTTTGTACGTTTTTTCATCGCGTTTTTTGTACAGAATTTCGTGCTGAAAGAAAATTAGTTTATGGTTTGGTTTTGTATTTGTTTTATGGCGTAAATTTAACATTAACTTAATGGCAACGGGTGCGAACGAGACGGAGACAGCCCAGCCACAGACTAGAGTAGCCAAGCGTTAGCCAAGTGCCAGCAGAGGGAAAGAGATAGTCGACGCTCGCATTGGCCAGGCTACAAACTTTTGAGGTTAGGTTAATATTTGTATCATTTGTGCAAATGTTGAAAAAACCGAAAAAAAAAACTTGTATGTGGAATGGTTTGAGTGGGCGCGGCTTGTACAACAATTAAACAAATCAGGTCAGTAACAAAATATAACAAATTAAATAAATACGACTAAGTTATTAGCTAGACTAGTTAGGCTCTACAAATCGTAGACACATAATCTTAAATAATAAATATGTATATATATATATATATATATATAGCTAAATATCTAAATATGTACGTTTAATTGTGCACACAACGAATTTACCAAGTTTATAACAATTTCTTCGTGTTTGCATTGTCTTGTGTAGTACACATGTTTATAAGAATTTCAATTTTCCCAATTGGATCAAGAAAATAGTTGCTACTGTTTCTTCGAGGTTATGTCACCCGAAAGCCAAATCGAAATCGAAAACGAATTCCGTTTTCGAAATCGAAATCGTTGCGTAAAATTGAAATATTCGATGTGAATATATGCGGCTGATTTACAATTATTCGAAATGAGTTTGAGCATCGCAAATGGCAAAAAAAAAAAAAAAAAAAAAACAATAATAATAACAGTAGAGGAGAAATATAGAATAGAAATGGATAAAATAAAAATTAAAAAAAAAAAATATGATTAAATCTACTTACACATAATATCAACTAGATTTGTTTTTGCTTTATCACATTTATGTGTGTGTGCACTTTTCAATTGTAACTATGGACAACACATAATTTACCATTTAAATAGATATAGTGTATGTGTGTGTATGTGTATGTGTGTGTGTATATATATGGAACTTGTGTATGAATGAATGTGCATGAATGTGCGGAATTTGAGTTCTTATAAAGCAACGCATTTTGGTTTGTTTAGTTTTTGTTGTGCTTAGTTTCTAGTTTTGTTGTTGTTTCGCTTAAGAAATAATAAAAAATATATATATATTACGAAACGTGTGAGAGTTTTAAACAATTATAACTAAGGCATATGGAATTGTAAACGTAATTTAAGAACAATCATAATCATAATTCAAATATATCAAAAAATTAATCACAGACTCGTTTGGTTTACTTGGAATACTAAAGTCTCCTCTACGATTTCAACGAGTGTTGTTTTTTTTTTCTCACGGAATTCGTTACTTTTCGTTTCTCTTACTCGTTAGTTTTTCGTTTCGTTTCGTTTTTTGTTTTGTTTTTGTAAAGGAATTATTTATATACAGGCTTGTTTTAAGGTAATAGGTATATTATATATATATATGCAATATACTTTCGTTTTTATTAGTTCATAATTTATATATATATATATATATAAATATATATATATTTGTTTTTATAGTATGTGTGTAGTGTATTATTGAATATTTATAAGACTTGTGTTTTACCAACACACACACACACACACACACACGCTGACACTACTTGTATGTGGTATTTAGGATTTTTTAGATTTGAACATTTTATAAATTCACAAAAAATTAAAAAAAAAACATCCACATTTATGTTATGTTTTTTTCTTTCTTTCTCTTTAAAGCCTTACAATAGATCTCTATATGTATATATATATCTGGGCAAATCGTAAATTTTCGCGTCACTTAAGCTAAAACAAAAAAAAAAAAAAAAAATGTGTTAAACATGTTGAGAATATTTCTCACAGCTATAAATATAAGTATAAATTAAGTATTTATGTATATATTTAAGATTTGCCTGGGCTTTTTTTTTGCTCTTACACAATTTCTAAGCTTATATAAATCTCAAGACTTGAATATATATATAATATTTCAAATACAATATATATATTTATATATGCATAAATATATATTTTAATAATTGTTATTTAAATATTGTTTTCAGTTAAGCTTAAATTAAATCTAATTTAAATCTCTTTATGCTTAAAACTAGTTTTTCGATTTTTTTTTCTCTTCTTCTTTGCTTTCATTTTACTAATTATACAGTTTATCTTTAGTTAATTGCATTAAAATTGAAATAAAATTGTATTTGAATTGATTTTGTTTGGTTTTTAAATTTAAATTTGCAATTATTTAACAATTTTCTTGTCTTTCTATATGATATCGTTATTATCTTTGTGTAATTTTCTCTATGGCTCCACACACACACATACAAACTGACACACACACACACTCTCGTGTGTGTGTGTGCGTGTTGCATGAACATCAACTTAATATTATTTATAGCCCTACGTATATATAATTATGCATGTATCTTTAAGTATGTCTATTTTTCATTAATTTTATTGATTTTTTGCATTTTTCGGATTGGTTTTTCTTTTTTTCCAGGAACAGAAAAAACTGCATTATATTGCGGTTCTAACGGATTTCCCTAACTTTTAACAGGCCATTATGGTAATGCTTTTTTGTGCTCCGCAGTTTTGGAGACACATATTTTTTTTCATATCTTTTGTTTTTTTTTTAGTTTTTCTTGTTTTTTTTTTTTTGGTTTTTTTTTTTTGTTTTAATATGGATTATTATGGAGGCCACAACATGACAGCAAAAAGGGAGCAGGAACCGACGTACAAATACAAAACACAAAATACAAAATACAAAGAAATAACACAAACATATGAGCACAGACAGAATTTCGGTACGGATCAGGAAAACAAATCGAATGAAATAAAAATCAAATAAAATGTATACACTTTAAGAAACTCATCATCTATTGCTAATATTTTGTGGATTTATATAGTTAGAAAAAAAAAATAAAATAGAAATAGAAATAGATAGTTAAAGAAAAGTTAAACATAATATTCGCTTGTTGCGTCTGGTCATATAAAATCTTTACGTGACTTAAGACTAGTTTATATCTCTATATGTCTATATGTATATGCATATAATATATCTTAGCTCTAGTTATCTATATAGATTATACAGTTATTAATGGATAGTTATTTTTAAAGTCATGCAACTAAATATTTATATTTGTGTCTCTGTGTCTGTGTCCGGGTGTGTTGTGTGTGTGTGTGTGTGTGTGTGTGTATATCTGTCCAGTTGCGGCGCTTGAAGCGCGCGAATTATATAATTAATAATTAAATTAGTCTATTGTATGATATAATTATTTTTAAATTAAATTAAATACAAATACAAGTTTCGTGGCATGGGCGTGGTCGTTATCAAGTTGGGCTTGGTTGAGATATCCGAGGGTTGTTAACAACAAAAATGTCAATTTATTAATATTTATGGTATATATATATATATGTAAATATATATATATAAATATTTAGTATAGAGATGCGTATCATTTAGTACTAGCTTTTGTGTTTTTTCTTTTGTACAGTTACAGTTAAGTTTATGCCTAATGCTAATGGTATACATACACATATATGTATATCAGATATATATATATATATATTCTAATATATATATTCGTTAATTCCTATCGTCAACACATACATCAGCGTATTCAATTAATAATTACTTATATAGTTTTTTTTTTGTTTATCATCAAGCAGTTTATAATTTTACTTAGGCCTAACATTTTCTGTTCCGTTTTTCCTGCTGTGACGCTTGTCAAATCAGATTTTCCCTTCCCTTTTACTTTTCTCTTGTTTTCTTTTAATAATGCTTCTTGTGTGTGTGTGTGTGTGTGTGTGTATATGGGTGTGCATGTGTGTGTGTATATATACAATTATAATTAAAAGGTGTTGTATGAAAAATACGTATAGCCAATTAGCTGTTGTTTGTTTGTTGGGATTAAACATTTAGAAAGAACATAAATAAATCTGCGCTTAGTCTAAGCCTCGCCTCGCCTTGCCACGCCTTGCCTCGCCTCGACAGATCACCGCTGCAGCAGCCTCTGGCCGGCAGTCGCCGCCGCTGTCTCGCTTGATCCGCTGATGCTGATGATGATGACAATTCATCTTCATCTTTATCTTAACATACACATAACATCTTTTATATATATGTCGTCTATCTATATATGCTTAATACGGATTGGCGCTTAGGGCGCTTTACGGATTAGTTCCTCGCGGCGTCGTCGCCTGCCGCCAAGTAGACTGCTGCTGCTACTGTTGCTGCGGCTGCGGCTTAATCATGCTTGAGGACAATTCGCGTTGGCGCTTTGCTGCGTTGTTTGCCGCCGCTGCCGCTGCCTCCGCCAGTTGAAGCTTGTCGCTTTTCCAAACGATCAAAGATTCCGCCACCAGCTCCAGACGTTCCAGCGGTGCTGCTGCTGCTGCCGCCGCCCTTGCGCTGCGTTAGCTGCTGCTCCTCGCGCTGGCGACGCTCTCGTTGCCTGTTGCCGCTGCTGCTGTGCGAGGATTGCTGTTCAGAGCCACCGCCGCCGCCGCCGCCACCGCTGCTGCCATTGCTGGAGGTCGGCTTAAGGACTACACGCCGTTGGCCGGGTCCAAAGTTGGCACCCGATGCCGACGTCGCGCCGCTACTGCGCACAATTTTGTGATTGCGCTTGACCACCAGCAGCTCCGGTGTGGCGGACCGCTTAACGGCACGCAACAGCGGCGGTGGCGGCGATGGCGTGGCCAGCAGCCGATCCTCCTCCTCCTCCAGCAGCAGACCATCATCGTCATAGTCCAGCTCCACCTCATCGTCGCTGGGCGTGCCCAGGCGCAGCATGCCCTTATTGGCGCTGCTGCTGCTGCTGCTTGTGGGCGGTGTGCCGCCAGCGGCTCGACCTGACATCGCTGATCCAGCTAGCTGCGCCTGCTGCTGCTGATGCTGCTGTTTGCTCGAGGGCGCCAAATGATCGGTTATGCTGCGCTTCGCCTCCGGCGCAATCTTTGCCGCCGTTAGCTGTTTGCGTCCCGTACCTGGCTGTTGCTGCTGCTGCTGCTGCTGCACTTGCTGCAACTGGTGCCGGCTGCTGCGGCCGGTGCTCGGCTCGGAGTCATCGCGACGCTTCAATGAGATAACCTTGCGCTCGCTGCCCAGCGCTGCCTGGCGCTGTTTTTGTGCGCTGCTTGGCGCTGTGCTCGCCGCCTGTCCACTGGCTGCCTCTTGATCCTCACGTGGTGCCGGACTGTGCTGCTCGGCGCGCTTTTCCTGCAAGGCGATTGATTAATGCTTTTTATAAGATCCGCCAGATTTGATGGAATTGTGTTATTAGAAAGCTAGTTTCCTTTTGATTTTGCAATAAATACACAAATATAGCCATAAAACAAGCAAGAATATCCTATCCAAATATTAGAAGCACAAGTTTTGATTTAAAGCTCGTTTTAGAGCTATTTCATTTCAGGTTTGATTCCTTCATCGTGTTATCTTTCACTAGCCGACATTGTCCAGCCAACTTTCCAAATTTAAACTGCTCCAACTTTCTCTGGAAGCTCTCCTCAATTGGTTTCTGACATCCTTATCAAGGTGTCATTCTTGTTCACAAACATCAATTCGACTCTCATGTTAAGGCCAGAATTTGTTTGGGTTTCATCAAGCGTTGATCCGTACACGACAAAGATCCTTTAAGAATCTTTGATACGACCTCTATACCGGAGTATGAATCATGTAACTGCTCACCACAATATTATTCTATCGAGTGAATCCGTGCAGATTGAGATCCTCGTGTGCGGTTAACTCCAGTCATACTCCAGCAGACTTTTGATGATTAATCTTTCTTCCTCAATTAATCGTAGAACCAAGCTTGGCGTAATATTTATTCATAAACTAATAACTGGTGCAATCGACTGCCTGCTGTTCAGGATGCTCTGCGATGATTATCACAAGCATTACAGAGTATCCTGTTCAGAGGGAAAAGGAAAATAAATATGGATGTGCACTCACCTCATGCAGTTTCTCCTCGGCGGCGCGTCGCCGTTTCAGCTCCTTGTCACGCATGATCTTCTCGCGCAGCTGCTTCTGTTTCTCGATCTCGAGGCGATAGGCGCGCGTCTCCTCGTCCTCGTCGCTGGGCTGTAAATTGCGAAGCGTGTGAGCGCAAGCTGAATAGAAATAAGCTTGGATTTAGGGCCAAGCACTTACCAAGATGCGACTGCCACTGGCGCTGCTCTCTGCGGGCCGGTTGCGCGGCTCGCCCGAGAAGGGATTGCGCGGCGCATTTGGTGAGCCGCTGCGACGACGTTTTGGCGCTGCGGCACCGGTTCCACCGCGATTCTCATCGCGCTCCCTGCTGGCGGCGCGTCGATAGCCACGATTGCCACCGCCGGCTGTTGGACGTGTTCCACCGCTGCTTCCACCTCCGCCGCCGCCTCCTCCTCCGCCAGCGCCTCCGCTACCGCCACCATAACGATCACGCTCCCGATCTCGTTCCCTCTCACGTTCACGTTCACGTTCACGCTCTCGCTCCCTCTCACGCTCCCTATCCCGCTCCCTATCGCGATCCCGTTCACGTTCACGATCAGTGCGCTTCAGAGAGGACGGCAACGGTGAGTAGCTGCGTCCCCGCGAACGGCTGCGTGTACGACTGCGCCGTCGCTCACCCTGCGCTCCAGACAGTGCCGCCGCTGAGTTGGAACTGGGCGGCGGCGGTGAGCGTTCCATGCGACGCTTCTCAAAGTATTGGCGATTCTTGTTGATGAACTCCTCTTGTTGGCGCAGCAGTTCCGCATCGCTGTTAATGGCCGGCACAAAGTGTGTCTCCTTGATGAACTTGTTGGTTGCCGCCTCGACGCCGCCCTTGAAGTTCGGATTGATCAGCACCTTGCTGACGACGCCCCGTGGTACCGCTGAGGGCGGCACCGATTGATGCTGCTGATGCTGTTGCTGCTGCTGGGAGCCGGGACCGCCAGGTACTGAGGCCTGTGCCGCTGCCTGTTGTTGGGCTTGAGTGGGCGCGCCAGGCGGTCCAGGATTTGGCTGCTGCTGCTGTAGATGCGGGGGCGGAGCGCGCATATTCATGCCATTCATATAGCTGGGCCCGCTGGACATCAAATGCTGGGGCAATGCCTGCAACGGGGGTCGTGGCATGCGCGAGCCAGGCGCATCGCCCTGTGGCCGCCAGCCGTTGTGCGGTCGCATATACTGACCGCCCAGATGCGGCTCATAGCCGGGCCCGGGTCCGCTCGGGCCAGGACCAGGACCAGGTCCAGAGCCTGGTCCATGCGGAGGTCCATAGCCGGGAGGCGGTGCATTACGATAGGGCTGTGGTGGACGCATTCCCGGCGAATGTGGCGCAACTGGCGGCGGATGTGGTCCCTGACCAAGCAGAGCGCCATTGCGATAACCGGCATTGCCATACGGCAATTGCAATGGCAACGGGGGCTGCAGCAGGCCCACGCGCACCTGGTCATGCGGATGCGAATGCGAGTGCGGATGCGGCAATAGATGCGGTGGTGGCAAGCCGTTGGGACCACCGCCACCACCGACATTATTATTGTTGTTGTTGTTGTTATTGTTGTTGTTATTATTATTGTTGTTGTTGTTGTTGTTGTTGTGTTGCTGGTGCAGCATATGAGGATTGTGTAGATGCGGGGATGGAGAGGAACCGGGACCGGGACCAGCGGTGGGAACAGGACCTGCATTGTTTGTGTTGTATGGCGACTGTTGTTGTTGCTGCTGTTGCTGTTGTTGTTGTTGTTGTTGTTGTGTGGGTGCTGACGGTGGTTGTGGTGGTGCATATTGGCCTGGAATGAATGCAGTTTTGTTCTGTGTTAGTGTTTGTTGTTGTTGTTGTTGCTGCTGCTGTTGCTGTTGCATGACGCTCGGCGTCAGCTGATGATGGCTATTTAGAGGCGTGGCCGTGGCCAAAATGCAAGCAGCCACCGGCGTTGCAACCACACCTGGCGGTGCCGCCATCAATGTGGCCATATGTGCATGTGCATGTGCATGAGCATGTGCATTACCCGGCGGCATCAGGAAACGGGCCATCGGCATGGCGCCCAGCATCCGCGGCGGATTGAACATGTGCGGTCCAGGATTGCGCAGCAGATGATGTCGTGCGCCCATCACGCGCTTATTGTTATTCTGGTTCTGGTTGTTATTATTGTTGTTGTTGTTGTTGCCTGCCATAAAACGAGGTCCGCCCGAGCCGCCCATGCGCGGTTTGTCTACAAGAGCAAAGATAACATTAATAACAGAAACGAAGCCTTTTAGCCAGAAGTGCCATTGATTAAATACTCCTGAAGCCACTTAGCCTTCCCATCTATTGAGCTATTGTTGATCTATGTTAAAAGCGGGACTTAACTCGTAAACGAATCTATATATATATATTGCAAGTATAATGGAGGCAAAATTGATGCTATTGTTGCCATTGTGCACGAGTAGAGCTGATCTTCAAATCAAAAATTGACGGAATACCGAAAAAGGGTTAAGCACAAATTGAATTTCCTAGAGATTTCTTAAAAAGTAGTTTTGAGTCCAACAATTCTCAGCAATTTTTCACATTACATTTGGTAACTTCTTTAGAAATTTCAGCTGAGAGTCAATCAAATGGAAAATATATATATATATATCTATATATAGATAGTAAAGCTCATCAATTGCGATCAACAGTTCACCTGGGATATGACACATCCTGTGGCAACACAATGTGGCAAGGGTAAGTACACAAAGGCAATTGGCAAGACATTTACCTGGATGGTGACGCCTTTGCATCTGTTGCTGCATCGAATGCTGTTGCTGTTGCTGCTGCTGCTTTTGGTTGTCGGAGCGTTCGCTGGCCGTTTTGAAATTGGTGCGCTCCTCGCGCTCGTCGTCGTCCTCGCGCGGATCGGCCAGCTCGGAGGCGGAGGCGGAGCTAGCGCTGGGCAAGCTCTCCTGCGAGGAGGCCAGCAGTGAGGTGAGCCCACCGTCCGGTATTTCGGCATCGCCTAACTCTGTCTCCGGTTTCGGTACCGGCACCGGTTCCGGCTTGTGCTCCACTTTGTTGGCAGCACTGCTGCCATTGTTCACAGTCTGACTGCTATCCGTTGCTGGCTTTGCGGCAGGCCTGTGCTCCGTCTCCGGTTTCCTAATCGCTTCGTGCCGCACTTGCTCACCGCCCGCTGATGTGGATGTGGACGTTGATGTTGATGTTGCTCTTGGTGTGTCTGCAGCCAGTTCAGTGACCTGGAGCGCTGTTTCGCTAGCAATTGGCTCTGGGTTTGTCTCGGCTGCAGTCACAACAGCAGCTCGCGTTTCTTTGGTTGCTGCCTGCGGCTTTGGTTGCTCAGCAGCGGCATTTTCAATGCCAATTGTATTCTCCTGCTGGTGCTGGTGCTGCTGTTGCTGCTGGAGTTTTGCTGCCGCCTGCTGTTCCTTGTGCTTGCGCAGCTGCTCCTGTGCCCATTCCTCGGCCTCGGCGCGCATCTGCTGCTTCACCTCGCTGGTCACATCCTTTTCAAGCTCTGGTCAACGAATACAAATACAGTCAAAACTAGGAACTAGCAACACCTGGCACACACACACACACACACAGAGAGAGAAAGACAGACACACACACGCGCGCGCTGAACAACTTACCCTCATCGGAGAGCAGCAGCTCATCCTCGTCGGCGCCAAGCAGCGCCTGGTCATCAATGTCATCGCCCAGGCCTAACTCATAGTTGAGCAGATCGTCGCTGCAATGAGATAAATTAATCAAATTATATCGATTCTATAAACTTATGTCTTTGCAATCAAAATTTCTACTGCTTCAGATTTCAATATATTTCATTTGATTTGATTTCAGATTTCAGCTAAATTTAAATGAATTACAAGGTTTGCAATTGCTGAGCCAATTTGATGTGCTTCATTTTTCTTGAACTGCCAAAAAATATATAAGAAAAAAAAAAAACAAGAAAGAAAATGTATCCAATGTCACAGTTAACATATAGTAATGAGCTTTATGCTGACAAATCGTTGCACACAATAATCGATAATACTTTTTTTTTTCTTTATTGATATCCCTGTTATTTTGATAAAAATAGCTGCCAATGAAAAAATACGTGCGTATGGAAGAGTTCCTGATGCTAGTATAGGAATTGTCTTGGCGAGAGTCTCAAATTTTTGTATGCACTGCGTATGTATGCTGGTTTATGTATGTTTTTCATGGCATGCAGGTTCTACTGGGCTCTGCACCCACACGCAAGCCCACACACACACACATACATACGTTCGCAGGCAAATGCCTTGAAAATATGTGTATGCGTGCGTATGCATGTGTGTATGCAGTATGTATGTATGTATACGTATATGTATGTACATTTAAGTGCAATCGAAATGCTGCACATTTCACTTTCTGCAGTTGCAATAATTAAATAAGTCCGTAGCCTTTGGCCTTGTATTTGTCACATTCGTTTTTTTTTTTTATATACATTTTTCTTTTTTGCAATTATTTGCATTTTCACGCAACTTACTTAATGTCCGACATTTTGACTGCGGGACCACCACCAACACCGCCACAAAGGCAGAGAGGAGGCAGCGGCAGCTGTTGTCACTCAGCGGCAGCGCAACTAAAGCGCGCGTGTGTGTGTGTGTGTGTATGTGTATGTGTGTGTGTGTGTGTGTGAGGGTGAGTGGTTGTGTGCGTGTGCGCGTTATGTGGATAAAGTAGAACAACGTTTGTCTACTTTACGTAGGCCGATTATAACATGTTTGTTTGTTTCTTGAGTTCGCACTTTTACTTAACATACGCATAAACACACTGCACGTTAACAATTATAAATCAAATATATCGCACGTAAAATTAACTGAAAACGCTGCGCTGCCAGCGTTTTCCACACGCAGTTTTTTTTTTAGTTTTCAGTACTTTAGTGAAACACTGCTCAACACTGAGTTTGCGTTGCAGTGATGCCAGATCAATAACTAAATACGCACTGTTGATTCTCGGTCTGGCGTCCATATCGATACATCGATAAGAAATGCGCTTGTCAAACAAGTCGATGTTTCGATGAGTTCCTTACATGACTACATAGTTCCAATTGGCACACGGTACACAATGTCGAGCGCCAGCAGCTGTGCGCATTAATTAGAAAAATAAATAATCGTTTCGTGCGAAAAAATTTGACAAAATTCTTAAGTAAATCGATCCGGATGTGTGGCGTAGTCATAAAACTGGATATGAGCGTCGTGATAAACGCAATTAGCTAAACTGTCTCGCCTCGAGTGGTTTCAAATCCAGCTAAAAGCGGAGAGCACACAAAAAAAATTACAAAAAAAAAATATTCAAAAAAAAAAATAATAAAAATTTATTGTGTTGCAGTTAGCCAAGTTACGACAAGAAACACAGACACACGCACACACACACACACACACCATATAAATAAATTATTTCGGCTATTTAATAAATTATTTTTTTTTTATTCATGAGCAAGTGCATTAAAACACACACAAACAAACATACCACGCACACACACACACGCGCGCGCGCCACTGATAAATTGAAAAGCAACAATAAACAAGAACAAATAAAAGTCCAATTAGACCAACAAAACAAACACCAATACGAAACGAGTCAGTGAAATGCAAATTGAAAATGAATGACGACCAAATTGCGAATGCCAAAAATGCGCACGCCACAACCGAACAGCTGACTAATCGGGCGCCAACGCCAACGCCAGCAGCGCTGCAGCCTGTTGCTGCCACCAACATGGCCAGCGTACGTTTACCCATTGTGGGCATGACCTGCCAGTCGTGCGTGCGCAACATTGAAGCGCACATGGGCCAGCAGCCAGGCGTGATTAAGGCGCGTGTCCAGCTGTCGGAGAAGGCCGGTTACTTTGACTATTTGCCCGGCCAAATGGATGCCGCACGCATTGCCAGCCTGATCGATGAGATGGGCTTCGAGTGTAGCTATCAGCCGGATGTTAGTCCGGCCAGTGCTAGCGCCAATTTGCGCATCCTGGGCATGACCTGTCAGTCGTGTGTGCGCAACATTGAGGGTCATGTGTCCAGCAAGCCGGGCGTGCAGCACATCCAGGTGCAGCTGGACGAGAAGAGTGCCCGCGTCCAATACGATCCCGATCAGCTGACGGCCGCAAGCATTGCTGAAATTATTGATGACATGGGCTTTGAGGCGAGCGTGGCCAATGAACTGACGCCCACGCCCAAATCTACGCCCACACCCAAGCGAACGGGCACGCCAAGGCATTCACCTGGCAAGCAACAGGTGACAAGCACAACAACAAATGGTGCTGCCACATTGGTGCCCGTGGAACAGGAGCTGCTCACGAAATGCTTTCTTCATATACGGGGCATGACCTGCGCCAGCTGTGTGGCGGCCATTGAGAAGCACTGCAGAAAGATTTATGGCCTGGACAGCATATTGGTGGCATTGCTCGCCGCCAAGGCGGAGGTCAAGTACAATGCGAATGTTCTCACCGCCGAGAATATTGCCAAATCAATAACCGAGCTCGGCTTTCCCACGGAGCTCATCGATGAGCCCGACAACGGTGAGGCCGAGGTGGAGCTGGAAATATCGGGCATGACCTGCGCCTCCTGTGTCAACAAGATCGAGAGTCACGTGCTCAAGCTGCGCGGCGTAACGGCCGCTTCGGTGACGCTGCTAACAAAGCGCGGTAAGTCTGCAGCTGACAATTTACATGAATATACTTATGTGTGAATGCTGACTGACTAGTAGATACCCTCTAACTAAATTGGAAGAGATTTTCAATTTGAAGTCCCGTTTAAGTTGTAGAAAAGGACACGAGTTCAAAGAGCGTTTGATTTTATTTTTGCTCACGGAACTAGTTCCAGGCAAGGTCTTACTTCGATTTGACACTGACTAGTTGATACCCTTCAATTCGATGTCTTGTTTAAGGACACGAGTTCAAAGAACGCTTGATTTTATTTTCGTTCACGGAACTAGCTCGAATTGCATCTGTCCTTTTCGTGTTGTATAACGACAAAGCTTTCTGCTCGGTTCATTGAACTAGTTCCAGGCTTGCATATGAGTTTCTTTCTAGTTCCAAGCAGAACAAAATGGCTCTTTTGATCAAAACATGCGATTTATTTGCTAAACATTTTGCTGTTGACACATAAAATGACGGTCAGCGACCTTTAAAATCGACTTAACGACTTTTATTTTGCAGCCAGTGTTGCATAATTACTTGACAATTTTTTTTATATACTCGCACTTTCAACATGCTTTAAATCAATATTTGCAACGCAATTTGAAACAATAGCACCTGCGCACCTGTGCACCTGTGCACCTGCATCATATGCCCCACACGGGCACGTCTGCTGCTCCCCATGGCGTAATACTATATACATATGTATGTACATGTATGTATGCCAGGCACCTGTTGCTCGCATTGTTGACATCACGTGCCCATTTCACAAAACAAATCGGGATGCATATAGACAATGACAAAAATGACAAAAATGACAAATATGACAAATATGTGATTAAATGCGAATGTACTTGCTGAATTCTAGGTTTAATAAAATCACAAATAGGTCGATATTGATATTAATGGGGTTAGCAGACTTTTTAAAATTGTTCCTGATTCGATCAAATGTAGAAATCCATGATTACATTTAAATTAATCATTTCTCGATTCTTCTTCTTTTTTTTAAATGCAACTGTGCCGTTATATTAGTTCCAAGTAGTTGGTAGCTGAAAATTGCAAGTCTCTCAAGTCTTACAATGCAACAAAGATAAGATATAAAAAGAAAACAATTCTCCTTGTAGAGTCGAAGATAAAATACTCTTGCACATAAAGAACTCCACATCCTATGCCAGCTATGATATACAATACGCAGTTCCGAACTAGTTCGCAACGAATCTGTTTCTTTAAGGGAATCAAACAATACAATTTTGAGAATACAATAATGATAATACTTAATAATAATAATCGAAACAATGCCCAGCTATCCAGATATACAGATACCCAATGCTGCCTGTACGATATTCATTTAAAGGGAATGCCAGTTCTTAAGAACTGTTTGCCTTTAACTAAATAAATACATACAGATACATATGTACATATGTATGTACATGCTAGCTCTTAAGTGTTACACAATGAATGCCTTTTACATGTTCAATTTCACATTTCTACAGAAACGATGTGATAAGCCGGGGCTTGGGGTGGGTGGGGCACTCAGTTAAAGTTTTAGGTACAGCCCATTATATTTAAGAGTCATCGAAAGCCCAAAGAGTGTTGAATCATTTAACAACAATGCACTCTACGCACATGTGCATGCATGTGTGTACTTTATGTGATCACAGATACGCATGCCCGTATGCATGTTTATATGTACATGCATGCATGCACACATATGTATACATGTATGCATGCATGCATGTGCATACATATGTATACATGTATGCAATCGAGGGCGCATTTGTTTTCTGTGCTCTCGATCGGATTGTTGCCTTACAGATACATGCATAAGCAGCTACGGATACGATTAGCTTTACATATATGTACATACATATATACACAGATATACAGCCAGACGCACACACACACGTCAATTGCAACGGTTTTCGTGGCCTTTTCGCCAACAAACGGTTTCTAAAGCCTTCAGCTAAAGCTTGGAGTCATCATTTTGCATTTGTTCATCCGTTCATATGAGCTGCTAGTAAAAGAGTCTCGCCCTCTCCTGTCCGCCCCATCGCGCTGTCTCCCTTCCACTCGTGCACATGCAGCATGTGTGTGTTTGCTTCTCGTCTTTTCGTTTCATTTGTTTGGATTTATTTTTGTTTGGTGCTCTTTAGCTATTTCATTCGCTGCGCATGCGCAACGTTCACGTTCACATTCACCTTCATTTCGTTGTTTTGCAGATTTGCGCTTTTGCTTTCTGGTAGATAAAAGCGAGCGATACATATTAAGTTATGCAAGAGCAGGCACCTCTGTTAGAGGTGGGCGCGTGACGTGTTTCCTTTGCGCGTACGTGTTAGGCACGAATAATAAGGAAATTATGAAAAATAAATAAATGTATTAATATATATCGTACATTTTGTTTGCTTTTGATTCGACATTTTGCCAGAAAGTATATAAACTTTCACATTCGTGAATATCAAGTATTTTTGTGTTTTTTGTTGGGCTTTTAGAGACTTAGAGACTTAAAGCCACAAATGCCTTTTAGTGTATAGACCGATTCGTATTTGTTGACATTTCTTATCTCTCGAACTTTTTATTCAAGCGAACATATTACTTGTTGTTATTTATAAAAATATACTTATATAATATAACCTTATCAAGCATGATGAATTTAAAAAGGATTCAAAAACCTCTATGAAAACTGTAATAAAGCTGGTTACATATGCATACATATACGAATGTATGTACATATATGAATGTATGTATGTATATATGTATTCATATTAACCAGCGAACTGGCAGCTGTGAAATTGTTTTGCTTTAGCTATTGCACACTTTCGTTTTAGCCTGCAGTAATTAGAGGTAAAAGCGTGAAAATTTCAACCGTTGACTGACAGCAGGAAAAGCGATCCTCGCTGCGATATATGCATGTACATATGTACACACATACATGCATGCATGCATACATACATGCATACATATGTGCATACAAATAAATAAGCTTTTCATACTTATGGCACATGCGATTTGTTATGAAATACGGATATGTTGATATAAGAGTCGAATATTTCTCATAGATACTAAATGGATAATGTGCAACTTTTCGCTTTTATGCCGATATATTTTTGATATTGTCGCTAACGTAAGCTGAGAATGGAATTTTTTGTGCATCGGATACTCCTTGCAAAGATATTGTATAAGTCGCATTTTAATCGAACTCATATTACAGACTGGATTTAAGTCTCACAAACGCAAAAAAATATTGAAATTAGGCGTTTTT